ATCAGAAATACCAACCTGGATAAAAACTAAGAGTCATTAAACTCTGGACAGGAGTTCTGGACTCGTCATGTTTTAATTTGAGCTTTATGATTATTTCCACCACAGCTGAGCAGCTGGTTTAAAACCTGCAGAAATATTTTATAGAGTTTTATCTTTTATTTTGGAGAAGTGAAGAAATGTGTCTAAATAAACGTTTTGTACAGCAAAGATAAATTTATGAAATACTTAAAAACAGAACTTCCTGTCCTGATGTGGACTAGAAACAGTTCTCTGGGAAAGAACTACAGAACCGTTCAGAACCACGATCCACATGGGGAGCAGTGGAGAACCTTCCCTAGAGCCTGACTCACTAACGGCTCATCCAGGTCCAGAACAATATCTAAGGCAGAGGTCAGAGGTCATCAATAAGAAAGACAGAGTGAATAAAAATGGCTTCCAGTGGAGAGATCCAAGACCAGAACCACTGCTGACCCAAAGGAACTAAAATACTCTGTGGACTGAAGAGACAAAACCTTTTAGGAAAGTTTATTCCAACAACATCTGGACCAGAACAAACCCAGTATTTCAGAACCAGAACACGGTGGTGGCAGAGTGATGCTGTGGGCTGCTTTGCTGCTGTAAATGTAATTTTAGTCAGCATTCATTCTGTTTAGCAGTAAAGATGAATTCAGTTCTTTCGAAAACCATGTCTGAGGAAATGAACCCGGTTCGGATCAGAACCGGGTTCAGCAGATCAACAATCAGCCAATCAGAGCAGGACTCTGTGGAGTTACAAAGTAGAAAAACAGGCAGAATCAGAGTGACCTTTAACCTTTTATTGAGCTTCTCAGCTGAACATTCATTTCTCTGTCCCACAGTGACACCTGGTGGTGAAAGTTGGAACATCATGAACACAATAAACTGGAATAAAAACTGGAACAATTTTACAAAGAAAAACTGCAAAATTCATGTTGAACTCATCAAAATGACTGGTATCATGGAATATTACAATAAAATATAGAATAAACAAAATAAGAAAGTGAATAAGGCTAAATATATTTGATTTAGTCTAAAACGAAATATAAACAGCAAGCAAAATTACAACATAGTCAGTTCTGTTCACACATGGTTAGAGAGCCATAATAATATAGAAAATAAATTTTAGTAAGAGGCAGTACATTCAAAATCATGAGTATATCCATTGTAAATATAAATTAGATAAAATGAATCATTTTTACTCATTTTTATTAATATTTGTGATTTACAAATCAAGACAGTGATTTATATTTATAGAAAATGTTTTTTCTTCCTTATAAGAGATAATAAATAAACTGAAACAATATTTAAAAAAAAAATAATGGCAAAGAAGCAAACAAACAACTAAATGTAAAAAGTTCAGTTTTTAGGTTGTTTGACTCGTTTGTGATTCAGATTGAAACAAATCACAAACAAGTGATTCATTTTTGCTGCTTTAATTTCCTGGATCAGAAACAGAAACTGCTCAAGTCAGCAGCTATGAATTTATGATCAATTTTATAACATCATCAGAGTCAGCTTTAAGGCCGATCTCACCAAAAAATGGTTTATCTTCCAATACAGGGCTGCACTGTTCCTCGACGTTCTGATCCTGTTAGTTGATCTTATATTATGTGATACTCTAGAGAGTTAGCCAAATAATCTATGTCTGATTGCTGCCTAAATGTGATTATTTCTGCTCTTGTTTTCTCAGTTGAAATGTTGAATTTTTCAGCAAATAAACTCACAGAAATCATCACATCATCTAACTTTGTCTTTACTGTCAGAGTGTATCCATCTGCATAGATCATCATGATAAACCTGGAATGGATCATAAGTTTGGAATTTCATTCTGAGATCATGAATTAAGATCATGTGAACTGGAGCTGATGCTGTTTGTTAATAGACCTTACATCATCTTGTTGAGAAAACAACATTTTGCCATCTGTTACTCATTGTTCTCTCGTCTATCCAGGTCCGTTAACATTGTGTGTAAAAGTGAAACCACAAAGACAACAGTCACTGTTCAACTTCACAGTCAACCAGAATTTATTCAAACAGTCAAGTGCATAAAATCACACCAACAACTCTATAGAGCTCAACATAATCATCAGAAACCAAAGCCACAAAGAAGAAATTAATAACCGTAGAAAAGTACGACAATACAAAGACAGGACTTTGGAGGGTGCTGCGGCAGGTAAGACAGTTCCACTCCAGAGATCTGACCAGCTGTTTTAGCTCAATCACTTTTATATCAAGGTGGGTTCTTTACGTCTGATGTGTCCTAACAACATTTAGAGGTGAACTCAAACAGCCGTAATGACATGTTGCTGTTTGCAGCCAGAGACCCTGCAGGTGTTAGCAAAGCCAAGGGATGAATCTATCCACTGTCTCAGTCATCCTCCCTCTTCTTTCCCATTTTATGAACAATAGATGTGTTCATTTTGTACAGAAACATTTTATTCAAGAAAGCGGGACCAAAGTTTATCTGCTATCCTTTTTTTCATTTCAAACTGGTTCCTGATCTCTTGACCTCTCCTCTGGCTCAGGGAATCAAACAGTGGATTTTGATTATAAAAATTACCACACGTTTCATATAATATCTTCAAACTCTTATAAAACAGACATGAGCAGTTTCAATACCAAAACATCCGTTACACTCAATATATTCTGATTAGTTTTCAACTTCCTTAGTTATAATGAATTAAAACATTTTTCAGATGAATACACATTTAAGAATGTGATCTAATATAAAAAACTACTGTTTAGACAAATTTGAATCAAATCACGATCATTATATCTAAGAAAAATGTTCTACTGATTATTGATTAAACTGAGTGTAAATCTAACCTAAATTGAGGCCGACTCAAAACAATCAGGATCAGTCTAATATTTCATCACACTCTACAGTTAAACTAGCATAATTAAACAAATATTTCCAACAATCTGAAAATGGATTTAGGTAAAGATAGCTTCTGTGTTTTAGTTATAAAACTGAAAACAACAGATCATATTCAGAGAGATATAAAACTGAAGATACCTGCTACATTTAGTGTTGAGAACAAATATTGTTTTTGTTGTAGAACCGCTGTCACTAAACTGTTTAGATATGTTGAGGCATGAATACATTATTTGTTAAACAACATTAAAATAAGTTCCACTATTAGGATTATTATTATTATTATTTTATTCTTTTAACAAATATAATAAAAGATTATTAAGGCACCTAAAAACGCATACTTTATTAACCTAATGTATACACTGAGATGTATGCTTTAATAGTTTACTTCTAAAGTAAGCACAAAGTGAACTTAAAAAAAAAAAATCTATTTTGAGAATATATTTTAAATAAAGATATACACATAATAAAAGCACATCCATTGGTACACTTGGGCAAATACATATTTTGTTCACTTAAAGTATACTTTTATTTAAAATATTTCTTTAAAGTGTACTTTGGTACAATTATATTTAAGTATACTTCATATATATTTACAGGTAGTAGACTTAATACTTAGTATACTTAAAACATACTTACACAGATGTAAATATGTTTGAAATACACTAAAGTATACTTTTTTACTAGGGAATGCAACAAACTGCAAGCATCGAGACTAAGACTAATATGAACAATAACCGAAAACAGCCATAAATGAACGAGTCAATAAAGGTGCACAACTAAACGCCATTATAATCATTAAGATCAGCGTCACAAATCTGTGCAGCCATCTGAGTTGTGGAGCCGGAGCGTTGTGCGCTGCACTGACTGAAAACACACGGGGATTTCTTTCAGTGACAAAAAAAGTAAACTTGTCCATGTAAAAATAACTTTATTAAAAGCCTGAGAAATTAAAATCCTATTTCGAGTTCTTCAGACAATAGTGGGACACACAAAAACACGCAAAAATTACTAAAGGCTTTTTTTTTTACCCTTGTAACAATTTTCATCATCATTGATCTCCCTTGATATCGTCCGTCTGTCTGTCTGACAAATTCCACAATGATCCTTGTGTGCTGCCAGTTGGGCTGGTTTCCACAGCTGGTTGCTTATTGGTCTCACAAGATCTGGAAAAACTGTGAAAGCCAGAACTTTCTCACTTTTACTTAAGTAAAAATGTCAATGTGAGTAAAGTTCTGTCTGTTTATTTGTACGTTTACTTAAATATATAGTTTCAGTGTTTTTTAAAACACTTAACGGCATTTTTTTTCTCCTTAAATGTATGGATCTTTTCTATTGCTGCCTGTTTCGCTTCATCTCTTTCAGATATTAAAGTTTCCAAACCTTCTTCTAACCTCAATGAATCATAAACCTTCTCACAGTCTTCCCTCCACTTAGCCATCAGCTTATCGTCTTTCTTTGACCTTTCCATCTTGACCTTCACTATAACGAGGTGATGGTCACTGCTACCTGTTGCTATGGATTCTGGTTTTGAGCAACGCTCTGGAATATTTGTATAGATGTGATCAATACATGTTCCTGAATCTATGGTCACCCTGGTAGCGTCTTTAACGATCTGCGTGAAACCCAGTTCAGACATTAAATCCATTTTTTTTTTCTCTGAATTTAGGTCCCAGTTAATGTTAAAGTCGCCCATCAGGAAAATGTCTTTGTTTTCCATTTCCAGTGACGCCTGGGTTATTGTATTTTCAATGTTAACCAAATCTGATTCTTTGTTTGGACGTCTGTAACAACATCCCAGTAAAACTGGTCGACCAGGAATCTTAATCATCTCAATCCAAATGATCTCAACGTCAGGGTGCATCAGGTCAGACCTTAATCTGGTTTCAATATGATCCTGATAACACACAGCTACTCCACGTCCATTTTCATTGCTCCTGTCTTCCTTATCAATCTTCAAACCCTGGATAACAATTTCATCCCGTTTTATTCTAGTATCACACAGAGCCATAGCATGAACCTTGTGTTTCCTAAATATGTATTGAATTTCTTCGGTTTTTTCTTTAAGACCATCGATGTTCAGCAGAGCCAGAGATAATTCTTCCTCTGATGGAGCTGATGGAGCCCGAGATCTTTTTGGGTTTCGTGAACCTGCCATGGTGATGACCTTCTCTGTCCTTCTCTGTTGTTCTCCAGACCTTAAAGACACAGAAACACTCAGACATTAAACCAACTTCCTGCTGAAGCTGATATCAGATTAAATCCACCTGCAGTTTGATATAAAATCTGATAAATATTAAATATTTACAGTCTGATCCTCCTGGATCCTTCAGATCAGCTTCTGACCTTTGACCTTCAGGATGGAGGAACCTCTGACCTCTGGGTCTCCGTCTCTGTTTCCTCAGGAACAAACTGGTTTGATGTGGATCAGCTGAGACTGGTTCTACTGGGTCTGACTGGGAGGAAGTGATGATGAAGATGAAGAGCTGCAGGAAAACAACACAGTTTACAGCAAACATCCAACATCTGTCTGGTTAACAGATTTACTCTAGTAACATATTTTTAATCAAGTAGAATAAAAGCCGTCTAAGAAAATAACCAAACAGAAAAACAGGAAACATGCAGAGCAACTAAATTACTGAGTAATAATCAGCATATCTGATTTAAATCTGCAGTACAAAACTTTTATAAATGTGTTTTACATGTTTCTTAAAACTATCATTATGAAAGTATAACATGAAAAAGATAATCTGATAAAATATTAACTCATGCATGTCAGGAAATAACAGTTTTAACAAATATGTAAAAACAAATATACAAGTTACTACAGCTTTAACATGTAAGAATTGGATAATCAAACTGAGAAATATAAAGTTTTATGTAAATTGGAGCAGTTGGAAAAACCAAAAATTAAAAAACACAAAAACATTTTAAATGGATAACATGATTAGAAAACAACTTATTTTTATTCTATATCATCTATCATCATCTTCTTAATTAAAATGTTTTTGTTTTTCATTCAGAGATGTTTATCCAAGTGAGTAGATGATCTAGAAATGTCAAACTCAATAATATTACTTGAGTAAAAATAAACAGCACTACTTAAATGTACAGTAAAATTAAATAAAGAGGAAAAACTTTCATTACAAAACATAATTAACCATTAAAACAGAGAATGAAACATTGTCAATGTCAAATTTATTTATATAGCTTTTTAAAACAGGTATAAACTGCACCAAAGTGCTGTAGAAGAACAACAACACAAATGACAAAACAGAGCCCAAAACAATACGTCAATTAAATGCCAAAGAGTAAAAATGAGTTTTAAGAAGCGATTTAAAATGATCCAGGCTGTGGGCAGATCTAATCTGGAAAGGTAAGTTATTCCATAAAACAGGAGCAGCAACAGAAAAAGCTCAATCTCCTTTCCTCTTAAGTCGAGTCCGAGGAACTGTCAGTAATAACTGATTATGTGATCGTAAAGTTCTGGACACAGACCGGAAACTTAAAAGGTCCCGAAGATAAGGGGGGGCTAACCCATTTAAAACTTTAAAAGTTAACAAAAGAATCTTAAAATCTATTCGATAAAAGACAGGCAGCCAGTGTAAAGATGCCAGAGTTGGCCTTATATGGTCATGCTTCCTGGTTCCTGTGAGAAGCCGTGCTGCTGCATTCTGGATCAGTTGAAGTCGCGCAATCTGTGATTTTTCCGTCCCTCTATATAAAGACATGCTGTAATCCAGACGAGTTGTTATGAAGGCATGGATGAGTCCTTCAAAGTCCTTGAAACTGAAGTAAGATTTAACTTTTGCTAAAAGCCGAAGGTGGTAAAAACTCGATTTAACGACAGAACTAACTTGTTTATCTAGCTTTAAAGAGCTGTCAAAAGTGAAACCAAGAGCAGAGGTCTGATAAGACCGAGCTAAAGAACCAAGAATCTGATCTGGATTTGTAGTCTGAAGTTTCTGACCAAATAATAGAACTTGAGTTTTGCTTTCATTGAGGTGAAGAAAGTTTTTTTCCATCCATAATTTAACTTCAGCTAAACAGTTTAGCAACAGCTGAAGAGAATCATTTGTACCATTTTGCAATTTAAGGGGCAAATAAATCTGGATGTCATCTGCAAAGCAATGAAAGGAAATATTACATTTTTGGAAAATCTTACCAAGAGGCAGTAAATACAAGATAAACAAAATGGGCCCTAAAATTGACCCTTGGGGAACACCATACTTTAAAGGTTTAGCCCCAGAACAGGATTGGTCCAGATGAACAGAGAAGGTTCTGTTTCCCAAATAAGATTTAAACCATTCGAATACTGAGCCCCGCAGGCCAACAGTGTTTTAATCTATGTAAGAGAATCTGATGATCTACAGTGTCAAATGCAGAGCTCAAATCTAGAAGTAATAAAACTGCAATGTTGCCTGAATCAACTGTTAAGAGGAGATCATTATACACTCGGAGCAAGGCAGATTCAGTGCTATGAGCAACTTTAAACCCAGACTGAAACTTCTCAGTTATATTATTGTCTTTTAAAAACATTTCAAGCTGAATAAAAACTAATTTCTCAAGAATTTTAGATAAAAAAGGCAATTTAGAAATGGGCCTGAAATTTGCTAGGTCACTGGGGTCTAGATTGGATTTTTTAAGAAGAGGTTTGACCACAGCATGTTTAAGAGTAGATGGGACACAACCTGACTGCAATGAGGTATTTATCACCGTAAGAATATAGCTGCCAAAAATCAGAAAAATGTCTTTTATCAGACGAGTAGGAAGACTCGTCTGATAATTATCCAATGGATAATTTGAAGGTTGTTCTTCTTCCAACAGAAACATCAACTTGTTGCCTGACTGTTACCATAAAACCATTTTATTTATAGTAAAACAGTTTATTATCAACAGGATTAATGAAACTGTTAAAGCAGAAAAATTGCTGAGTGAATTGAGGTAACCTCTGAAGTAACGTTCTGATTTTACTTCATGTTAAATCTGTAAAGTTTCCTCTCACCTCTGAGGTCGATGTGAGTCAAACGTTGAATCAATCGCAGATCAAACTTTTTCTGCTTCTTCAGCCTTTATATTCTGACTCGGTTCATCCGGATGAGCAGCAGGAGGAATGTCAGAGCCGACCTTCTTCCTGGTTTCAGATCGTTTTCTTTTTCTTTGGTGTTAAACTTAACAATCATTAAGGAATTCAACTTCCTTTAAAACGTTGAGATATTCATCGCTGAACCTGCATCATAACAGGTTCAGGAATGAATATCTCCAAAGGCATGCTGGGTATTTCAGCAGGAACTTCAACAACAATTAAAGTTCAGGAACAGACGCTGAAGACGGAACATCTGATGATGATGATGATGAATGACAGCTTGTTTATTTCATTTTTGTTTCCTGCTGACATTCATCCAGCTGAAGTTTTACTGTCTTTGTTTCTAACATCTCAACATGTTGATTAGAATCACATAAAACCACAAAAATTATATTAAAGAGTAAAAACGTATTTGGTTAAAAGTTAATCAGTAACTGATCCAACTATCAAACATTTAAAAATTACATCATCAGATGGCCGAAAATATAAAGTTAAGTGGGAATTATTGTCATTTTGAGAGCAAAATGTAGATATTATTTAATATCTACATGCTCCCCCTGGCTCAGGTTATGTAAGATTAGCTGAAACTCTGAGTTCCTTTAAATGAAAACCCAAATGATTATTTCTAACTGGAACGTTGATCAATATATTTGATCTGTTTTGATGATTTTGATGGTGGCATTTTGGTGATGTTGAGAACGTGAATCTCAATCGATGAATCATAATTTGTATTGACACACGGAGCATACACAACAAAAGCATTCAGACTTTACTTATTTTATTAACTTTCAGCGCTGAAAGGAGACGCTTTACCATTACATCCGAGAAGAGTTTCTAAAAACGTCTGTGCAGCGTCTGAGGAGAAAGAGGAGGGCAGCTGATTATATGAACTGAAGACACTCCCTGAAATCACACCATGTCTCTGTGGCCTGATAAGTTTCTGTTTCTCGTGAGAAATGGACCTTGGTGTCTAACAGAATCAAAAATGTAACCCTTTACTGTGGGCCCTTTGTCTAACAGCGTGTGACTCTTTCTCGACCTGGTAAAGCGTCTCAACAGTGACAAAATGTAATATTTATTGCTTGTTTCATAATTGACTGATACTTTTGTGATATAGAACATTTTGAACTGCCTTGTCCTTGAAATTTACAAATAAACTTGATTTAAAGAAACTCAGTATTTTGGCTGTTTTTCAGTTTTCTGGAAGTTTCTTCCAGATTTGTGGTGCACAGAAGCTGAATGCTGCTTCTCCATGTTTGGTTCTGGTTCTTATGCAGACTAGAAACAGAACAAGAACCAGAAGGCCAGAGAGGTCTGCAGGTTGCTATGACAACAGATGAGTAGCCTGTTGTGGTGCTATTTCAGAAAATATGTCGTCCATCCAGATGAAGTTCAGGTAAGTATCTTCCTGGTCTCAGATGGTTTTCTTCCTCTTCAACGTTCCAGGAACCAAACATAAAAATATTCAGCTTCCTTTTAAAAATCTGATGTATTTGTTGCAGAACCTGTTATGATGCAGGTTTGGCCGTTTCAGCAGGAACTTCAACAACATTTAGAGAACAGAGCTGAAGGCAGATGATGACTCTTTACTTGTGCTTTTATTTGTTGTTTCTTGCCGTTATTCATCCATCTGAAACTTTACTCGCCTCCCTTCGTACATCTGGACAGGCTGGTCAGATGAGACCAAAACTGAGCTGCTTAAATAAAGAACGATAAAATGGAAAGTTACCTCATTGTGTTAATTAGGTAGTGTGGAGAACCTATGATGCTGTGGGTCTTTTTTCTGTTTTCAGTCTCTCCTGTTTGTCTTTCAACCACTTAAAAAAAACTCCTTGATTATTGTCCTTCTTCAGTCATGACATTAAAACAAACATCAGTCACAGATCGGCCGTAGCGTTCACCGTCGCAGAGAGGAAGCTGGCTTGTCGTGTCTCTGCTGTGGTTTTCACTTTGCTTATTTTCTGAATAAAGTTCTGATATAAAGAGGAAAAAAGATGAAATGTGTCTTTCTCATCATCATCGTCAGTTTCACCAGGATAAAAACTCCTTGAGATTAAAAATCTATTTTTCAGTAATCCAGACAAGTTGCAGCAGAATTACAAGAGATAAGGCAACTTTCAGCCGTAGACAATTCAAAGTGGTTGTACAAAAAAAGTCAAATAAAAAAATTAATAAGTAAAGTAAATAAGTAACAAGTAAAAAGAAAAAAGTTTCCATTGTGTGTTGATCCAAGTAATTTATAGGAAGACCTGCAGCCGTCATAATGTAACTAAAGAAAAAAAAATCATATTAGAAATAATTATTCATGTGTCAAACTTACATTCCCACCACAACATAGACTGGTTCAGGACGGAGCAGGAAAGAGAATCTAAGAAGATCTGAGTTTTTTGCTTTATTGGCTATTCACACTTTATTTAGTTTCACACAAAAATACGAAATATTATCTTTGCATCGCCAACATAAATAGTAATGGGAAAAATCTATAGCAGAAGAAACTAAAATAATAATTTACGTAGATTTTCTTCATGCTGAAAGAAAACATGTCGTGTTTATCATCTTAAAGAGTTTGTTCTTTTCAGCCAGAAAGAAGTAAGTTATAGTATTTTAACTTGAGTAAACTTCTGACTGATCAACTTTTACTTGTATCTGACTAAACTTTGTCCATCTATACATCACCCACCGCTGGAGCTCCACCAAGGACCAGCGATAACGCAGCCTGCTGAATGTGACGAGTCGCCAATCAGAGAGAGACGTGAGTCCAGGACATCAGAGACCAAACATGCTCTACCAACCATCACCACGGCTTCAGGCGGCCATGTTTGTTTACTCTGAACTCACATTTAGTCTTGGGAGGTTTTATTTCCTGTGTAACGTCTGTATCTGATCATCTTGGTTCTCATTTTCATAAAATCTACAAAAACATTCCAGTTTCTCTGCTTTACTTCCTATTACTGTTTCTGGGATCACAGTCAGTCCTGCTCCTGAAGCTGGAAGCATAAAACTTTATGTTTCATGTTGTGAATCACAGCAGTTTATGGTAACAACCCAAAGATCATCTTCTGACATTCACGGTGCTCAATGCATGAATAAACATCGTTTTGTTCTAGAAAAAAATCTGTTGTAATTTTCTAATACATGTGTTTGTGCATTTGTTACATATTTAATTTATGATGACATCACACCTTATGACGCAACTAGACTACACTTTAAATTAATTTATACATTCATTATTGTGTATTTGAAATCTAAAATGTTTCCATAATTTTAATTTGACTGTCTTGAAAGAAATGGAACATTTATTTTGTTATTTCATTTGTTCATATAATTTCTTGAAAATGTAAACCTACCCCAGGAATAACAGCTGATGATGATGTTATTGTAAATCCAAAAAATTTTCTGATTGTTTTATGCTCCATGAAAATTTTTATTTTATATCAGTAAACTTTGTTTGAGTTCAAACTGTAACACAGTGTTGAGTCTGCTGCCCCCTGCTGGCCAGGAGCCTGAACTCACCACTGCTGCGTTTCCTGCCTTTTTCCACGTTTTCTCAGCCGCTTTGTTTCATTTCTCAGATCAGGATGAATTTATCAACTGGCTCAACTTCCATCTCATTATGTCACTTTTAAAAATCTGCTTTCATTTCATGAACAAGAGGTAAATAATTTGGTAGCACCTGCTGTTTCCTTCATGATCAGTTGCTTTTGTCATGTTGATCAAAACGTTTAAATGATTTTAACTCTTTATTCTGTGATCCAGCAGCAGGTCCAGGGATTAATAAGCATTCAGACTGAAAACAGCAAAGATCTAAAATTCAGCTGCAACCAAATCAAGTTTTCCTGAAGAGATTCAGGTGATACATTTCAGGAGTTTAATAAATTATTATTCTATGCAGAAAGAGCGAAACATCTTCTGGTTCTGAGGAACAACAGCAGGAAGAATCCTGGAGGAGAAAGCAGAGACAAATACTATTTATTTATTCATACATCCATTTTCTGAACACCCTTGTCCCTCAGTGGGGTCAGGAGGGTTGCTGGTGCCTCTCCAGATAACGTTTCGGGCGAGAGGCGGGGTCACCCTGGACAGGTCGCCAGTCTGTCGCAGTCATTTATTTATTTATCTTTTACAAAGTAAAAAGAGAAAGAAAAAAACAAAGAAGCTAATGATGATGCTCTCTGCAGGCTGCTTTAAATAATTTGCTGGACAAAAATCAGGTTGAAGTTACAAGATCTTCTGATTTTCTCTCCCACTGATAACACACCTCTAAATCTCCTCACATCAGATAAAAACTTTAATTATTCCCACATTAGATGACTGTTAAACCTCACATTCTCATCCTCATGTACAATTATTTATTCATTTTTAATATCAAATAGATTTTTCATCTTGAGGTCAGAACCGACCCGAGTTCAGTCAGTCAGAAACTTTAAACTTTAATAATTATATCTGGACTCAGATGAACTGCAAACGTTCCTGAACAAGAAGACGAGATGCAGGACGATGTTTGATTTAAACTTTATTTATGATCATAAACACCAGTAACAGATATTACATCATCACCCAACTAATCATATAGAGATTAAAACTAACAACACAGAATATCTAAGTCTGAAATATAGGAAATATTAAAAATACACATTGGAGTTAAATGAAACAATCCACATATTATATATGATTAATGAAATTAACATTTCTGAAATTAAAATATCCCTTCTTATCATGAATCCTTAATATTTATTTGTTTGACCCAATTTTGTATTATGATAAAAATTAATATCATCAGATTAAAATAAACTTTAACAGTCATCCCTAAACCCATAAACAATCTCCAATACCTGATCTAAATCATATTTATGCTTTAAACTCAGCAAATTACAGAAACTACAGAACCAGAGGGATTGTGGGTAATGTAGGCCTGCAGGTCTGATGGCAGTAAAGACCTGATGAAGATCTGCTGGTGGTTCAGGCTGCAGTGGATAAACATGGAGCTCATTAATAAACGATGATGAGGAAAAACTTTAGTTCTGTGATATAAAATGTTCAGAGTGAGTAAATTTACAGGAGGTTACAGAAACTGATTCTTTATAACATTAATTCAAAAACCCAAAATAAAACCCAACAGTTTCATCTTTCAGAAAACAAAAAGTTAAAATTCTGTAAATGTGGTATTTGTCCACATGGAAACATCAGAAACAATCAACACAATTAGTTTCTTATGACAGTGGCAGAAATTCACTGCTGCAGAAAAACTGACCAGACATCAGAGGAAACTTAACCACATTATCAACTCTCTCTTATATTCAGATTTGCTACTGCAGTTGAGATTTCATCTTCTTCAGGGAGATTCGGCTCGTCAGCAGAGGTGAATGTGACATAAAAGCGTTTATGTTCGTTCTGCTCTCGAACAGAGGACCTGATTTTCAGGCGGTCAGCTGGAACGTTGGTGTAGATGTGATCCATACATGATCCAGGATTTCCCTCAATGCCTGTTTCACTAACAATCTGCCTTAAACCACTCGATCTGGCTGCATTTTCTAATCTTTTCCTATCACGAGAGGATTTAAACCAGTTAATGTTGAAGGTACCCACCAGGAAAATGTCTTTGTCTCTTTCTGTTGACAGCTCTCCGATTATGTTACAGATTTCTTCCAAATACTCCAACGGTCTGTCTTGAACTCTGAAGCAGCAGCCCACTAAAACGGGTTTCTTTTGTGGAAGACTGAGCTCAACCCAAATTATTTCAATGTTTGGGTTCTTACGCTCACGGAAAGGTGTGTATGTTAGGTTTTCCTTAACGTAGATAGCGACACCACCACCAGGGTGTGGTTTCTTTCCAGGTTTAACTGCTGCTCTTGGTTTTGTTCTGTCTTTCCTTTCCGGTGGATGAAAACCAACTATATTTATATTTTCCATAGATTGGCTGTCCAGCCTAGTCCCACATAGAGCCATAACATCTATCTTCTCTCTTTCAGTTAACTGTCTAACCTCCTCAATGTTGTTGCTAAGACTGTTTACGTTCCAAAAGCCAATAGTTAACTGATCTTTATGCACAGCTGATGTTGGAGTTGCCATGGTGATGACCCTCTGTGACCTCTCTGTTGTTCTCCAGACCTTAAAGACACAGAAACACTCAGACATTAAACCAACTTCCTGCTGAAGCTGATATCAGATTAAATCCACCTGCAGTTTGATATAAAATCTGTTAAATATTAAATATTTACAGTCTGATCCTCCTGGATCCTTCAGATCAGCTTCTGACCTTTGACCTTCAGGATGGAGGAACCTCTGACCTCTGGGTCTCCGTCTCTGTTTCCTCAGGAACAAACTGGTTTGATGTGGATCAGCTCAGACTGGTTCTACTGGGTCTGACTGGGAGGAAGTGATGATGATGAAGAAGAAGAGCTGCTGGAAAACAACACAGTTTACAGCAAACTTGATGTTTAATGATGTTTAATTAATGTTTAATTAATGTTTAATTAATGTTTAATGATGTTTAATTAATGTT